AGTGGTGAGAATAAGTCACAAACCTTTGACAGGAAATTAATAGCTGTTAGTGTCCAGTCAACTTACAGTACTAAGCGAAGGTCGTTGGCGGGTAGTGATTTCTGACCAGGCATCTTTAACGGTAGCGAAACGTAGCTGCTTTTCTGCCCTGTTCCGCTTGCTTGGCACAGGAAATCAAGGTGACATTGGGGAGGGGCGATGATGACAATCATGACGATAAGGAGTGGGAAAGAGAAGAAAAACAAAGACGACTGCGATCACGATTTATCCTTGAATTACCGCATTTCAAGTCGTACAGTACCTTCCACTTTCCGCGTTCCTGATTGCCAAGAAGCACAGTGTAGGCAGGCAACTGCTCAATGATGTATCGGAACCTGCAGTGTTAGATGCATCTTATATCATCTTGCACCTTACTGGCAATACAATGTGTTGATCATTAGCAGTGACAGTTCAGAAGCCGGAGCAAGGGGACTCGCAAACAGGACTAAATACGGTGATTAGAGGAGTCAAGCACTATATAATAACTTAATAACAAAGACACTAGAGTTCGAACCCATATTTGACTGTTCATAGAGAAAGAATCGATTTCTGAAATACCAATGGTGACAGAAAAAGTAGTTTGTAAGCCATCAAAATGATATGAAGTGCGTCTTGCACTGCAAATACTAATATACGTCCTGCATGAATGACCATGTTGCGTAATTGTGAAAAAGGAGTGATGCAATACGCCGTAAAACCTGGTGACCAGCTCAGATAAACGCTACAGACTTATTATATGATACAGTGAAGAACGAAAAAAATCTGTCGGTTTGCTTTCCACTTCAGTGATATAAACTGGTTGAATACACTTCTTTAATAGAATAAAAACGGTCAATAAGATTCGCCTCATTTTAACGGCAATATCTACAGTTAAGTCGCCATGATAGCGTGAAGAAGCTTCTCAAAGTGATATTGCTTATCTGCCGCTAAGAACGAATGGAAATGGTCTGCTCAGGATTTGATGCGCGGTCTTCCAACTGCGCGTGAGGCACAAAACTCGCTGAGTGATCC